CATGATGCAGAAGTAACGCCAGATTAAAATGCAAGGAAGGACTTTGAGAGCAGAACACATTTTCAAAAAGACTTCCATGTAAAGCGTCTATTGGATATTGGCCATATTCAAAAGAGGATATATTTGCTTGAGTTTCTTGAGCCTCAGACAGCTGAGTGAGCCTTTTGTCAAGATAATGTGTCCCACACATCCCTGAGAGATTATGAGGAATAGTATTGCCTTAGGGAAAACGTGAGGAAAGAAAATAATAATTAGCCTGTCCACATACCCTTGATAAATTTGAACAAATCCAACAAGATTTCTAATGTTTGACATGTGAGAGCCAGGAAGACTGTCTGGAGATCTTATATCAAGTAGTGCTTAAAAGGTTGTTTTTAACCAACCTGCGCTATTTACCCCATGATGCTGACATTACAATAAAGCTAACTCGCCCGTTACCCTGCTTTGCTACTGTACAATTCATTTCCAAAGTGCAAAAGACCTCTGCTCTTGAAATTCAATGATGCAAATGGTGCTGGATGTCCCATTCCACTGAGCAAAAGAGATAATGGAAGTGTTCAAGTCAAAGCAATATGAACCTGTTCTGCATGGCCTCAACTGGAAGAAATCTGGCAACCAGGAAAAGTAAACAAGGACATGTGTATGCAACACTTTACAGTATCAGACGGACTACTGAAACTGAAATGTTAGCATAGTTCAACTGCAGTTATTTCAAGATGAGGATAACTACAGTGCAACTGTACTACTGCTAAGTTGCTTTACTCAATTTCTTGGCACAACTGTTACAGACTGCATCTCATAAGACAGAAGGTTATGCTCTTTTGAAATACTGAACAACTAACACAATCCATCAGCTTAATTGCAATAACTACAATGATCCTTTTTCTTAAAATCGCTTAAGATGGCATACAAGATCTAACAGCTCTATCATTTAGTGCCATGTTTTCTTTCTTGGGACTACCTACATTTCAACAGAAATTGCCTGAAATCAATGAAAGCTGTCTGAAAATGTACTGACATGCTTAACTGCCTAAATCTAAAGCAAAGTGCCTAAAAAGCCACAATTACGAAAAATACCTGATTGCAACCATAATGGGATTAAAGCACTGCAGAGGAGAAAGCAAGAGAGTGAACATGCTGTTAACAGAAGTTCAGACACAAAATGTCCTCTGGCAAATGCAAGTTTTATTGTGAAGTAGCAGCAGGAAGTCTTCAAGGAAAGTAATTGGCCATTGCTTAGTACAGATTAGTTAGGTTCTAATTGAGGTTAGAAAGTGGTTTTAATCTGCATTTGGACATGTTTAGACACTTTTTTTTTTTTTTTCTGTAGCTGGATCATTTTTACAAAGGGGTAAGGGTTAGAGCTGCAGGAGATTATAGCAACACTCAAAGCTGCAACACACAAGGTAAGCAATACCTTTTCCTAATCCATTTCTTCAAGAGGACAGAGCCAGAGATTTAGGCATGCTGACAAATGTGATGCAGTTTCATTTCACACAATACCGCATTCAGTGTTCATTTTGGAAAAACCTTCAAAGCATTTTATTGTCGCAACTCTTGAAGCTTTTAAGAATTTTAAAGGCCTGTGGAGACCTTTGTAAAACACTTGAAGTTTCAGAATTCAGGTAAAGATAAATACTGGAATGTTTCTATAAATCACATTGACACTGTAATTAAGAAAAAGCCTTAGATCAATGAAAAGACAGCCTCAGGCTCATGGCTCTTATCTCTTTTTGATTGTTATCAACTTGATCTCTAAGCTGAGGAAATTGGATATTAGAGAAGCACAACACTGGCAAACTGTCCTCAGGTTCACATGAACAATTTTTCGAATTCTCCTTACAATCTTATCCCTGATGTCTTTCGTATTGTTGTTTAATACATGTCTTTACATTTGCAGAAATAATGTGGTGACTGTAAATGGACTCAAGTGCTTAAGGCCTTCACGTTTAAAGTAAAGTTCCCTCCTATGTGTAGAAGCATGAGAAGGAGTGTGCTCCGGCAAGCAGCCTTCACAGCATCAGATGGAAAAAAAGGACATGAAACATTTCTGAAAATCTTATGAACTGAACCGAAAACCTGAAGAAGTTAATTTCACAAGTAGGGTTGTTCTGATACCGAGACCAGTGTCAGACATGCCTGAGATACAGCCTAAAATGCTGGATCAGGTATCCGTGTGTACGCAAGTCTTTGCACCGATCTGATATCGTGTAATTCATTAGCCCTGAAACGGGACGCTGGTATTTCTCAGCAGCGTCTTGTTCAACTTTTTTTATTCTCCTCAGGATGGCAAAGTCATGACCTGCCCCACTCTGACTCTGATTGGCTAACCCTGATATTTTTACCCAAACTCTAACCAATCTCACCAGTCACCGGTCATGTGCGCTGTGCTGCCGCTGGGTACTGGCAACTACTGTTATAGAGCGGCGAAGAAGAGAGAAGATATTTTTGGGTAATGATAAAAAAAAGTTCTATGGCATTTATTCTCTCTATGCATTTGTTCATTTTTTACAAAGAGTTTAACCTGAGCCATGCCATACAACAATTATAGCAACCATACAGGGTTATTAGTGTACAACTGTTAATGTATTATAATTAATAATTAATTAATAATACGCAGAGTTCAGGTGTCAGATTTTCTACATAAACTAACTAAACTTTTTTTTCTCATTCTGACCATGACCTTACTCTGAAGACATTAGTCAGACGTTACATGACATTTGACATAGACTGAACACTATTCCACGGTGCCATTGCACATGTAAATGTGCCCCTTTGACTATATTCTCAGTCAGTCTTTTCCTCTTTGTGCTCCACTCATCATGTCTCCAGACAGACAGAAATTGAGTTTGTATTTGGCAAATTTGCTATTCTTGGCATGCAGATTAAGCTCCAGCAATGTGATCTGAATTTCCAGCCGTCAGTATCAGACACCTTGTCTCACATCATGAGATGTCTGAAACTGTTAAGTGTCTAAACTGCTCTCTCTCTCTCTCTCTCTCTCTCTCTCTCTCTCTCTCTCTCTCTCTCTCTCTCACACACACACACGCACGACAAGAAAAGAAAACAGGGGAAGTTTTCTGTTTACAGCTGCTATGTGAAACTCAATTACACAGCCAATTGAGAATGTGGCTGTTGCTCAGATTTGCGTGATGTGTTCCTGACCTAAATAAGATTGCTGTTCCCAGTGAAGCCCCAACAACTGCATACACTTAGTAGATTGACAAACAAGCAAAACGGTGCACACACACTAACACACACACACACATCTGGACCTCTGCTTCTCTCGTTCATATTTGCTGAGTGTTTTCCTGCGTGGGTCCCTGGTGTTGCTGCCCCCGGACCACTCAGATGAGGTGAGGTAAGAATTGGAGCCATAGTATTATGCCATCTGGATATACATTTACACATACATGCTCATGTGCACACGTACAGATATACTCTTGTCATAACCCACACTGACAAACACCTGGACCTGGTTACTGGACTCAGAGGGAGAGTTGAATACTGTGTGCATGCCTTGTGTGTGTGTGTGTGTGTGTGTGTGTGTGTGTGTGTGTGTGTGTGTATAAGTTGGGTGTATGGGGAATGCTGGGCTTTAGGTTATTCAGTGCTGGAGGCTGTGTTGAGGTTCTTTTTCTGTTTTTCTTTCTCTTTTTTTGCTTTCTTTGCTTTCTGAGCCCTTGAAGAAGGGGGCTCACTTCACAAAGTCTTAAAAATTAAAGCGAGGTCATGGCTACTACAATATGTAGCCCCCTTCACCCAAGTACGAATAATCCAGACAAAGAGGGATTCCAACTTTTTTTAGATGGGTAACTGAGTATAAACATGTTGTGACCCATTGTAATATCAACTTTTTTCTCATCAGTGTTAATCTAGTGATCACTATGTGGGTGTAGTTTTAAAAAAGCTTTATCAGTTTTGATGTGTTTCGTTTTATGTCTGCAGTCACTGCTGCCATGCAGGTATCTTTCTGAACATAGCTTGTATTAATATTATTATTACCATACACATATAAATATGGGCAAGAGGCAGCTATTTTCGTTCGCTAAGACGTTCACACTCATTCACACAAAGACAATTAGACATCTTGGCCCCCACACATTTAGCACTAAATAAAAACAAATCTTATTAAGAGTAATGTGTTTGGGACTTTTTTTTTTAAAATGCATAGATTTGCATAAAGTCTTTAAATTTGAATACATCTACACAGCCCTAGGCTAACAAATTATGTGATGTTAGAATAATGAATCTATTCCAATATACTATTAGTATACTTTCTTAAATTGTTAAGACAAAATCAGTGGGCTAAGACTGTCTGAAAAAAGGCCTGCATGTAGTAATTTGATGTACCTTTTCTTCTTCTTTGGAAGCTTAACACTTAAAAGCAAACATGTGGCAGCACTGAGAATAATGTGAACATGCATACTACTACCAGCAAAACATACTTCAAAGTAAAAGCCTAATTATTGTGCAAAACAGCCTCTTTCAGGGACAACTGTGGAGCCTTCAAGGTCCCAGGAGATGATACAAGGTTTTATCTTATGCGCACATTCACACAATATATTAATCTGTACACCCATGTCAAACATTTTTTGATGTAAAATCAAAGTAACTTCAACAGTAAGATACATTTAGTAAATTAAATAGTAGGCTACATTATTTCCCTCTTACAATGTCGTGGAGTAGAATTAAGTAGCATGAATTGTAAATAAGTACTTCAAAATCGTACTTACGTACAGTAAGCGAATGTACTTCAAACCCCTGTAAACTTTTCTCTCTCAAGCGCCGAAATACGCAATGCGCCAAGTCTCGCGCAATCTCCAATAAACAAACCAATCGCACGTGCAGCACACTGTCAACACGTAGCAAACAAAAAGAGCAACGCCTGTCAAACCTTCTCAAGGTGACTGCGAACAGTGGCGACTGAACACAGACACTGGAGACGGAGCACCGCGCACATACTGTGTGTTAGTGTCATCCACGCCAAGTTCACTCACCTCTGGATACTCTCTTGTTTTCTTGTTTCGATGGAGACGAAAAGTTATAGCACTCCGGTACTCCGGGTATGGATGCGAGGTCGGTCTGTTACCACACTAGAGTTGTAGCCTCTCTCTCTCTCTCTCTCTCTCTCTCTCTCTCTCTCTCTCTCTCTCTCTCTCTCTCCTTACACACACACACATACGCAGGGTCACACATTGGTCTCACACATGAAAACCACTGTGCTCCTCTACAGTTCACTCAGCTGTATGAGGGGTGATTAATGCCACTCAGAGAGGAGTGCATTAGCTTGAGGAAAGTCATTGAGTGCTCTGAATGGATTCCACAAGCCACTCTTCTACTTGGGGTCTAATAAATAATACACCTAATTCTTCCCTAATAATAATTTTTAAAAATCCACTAGTAACCTGGAAGTAAATACTCTGCTGTTTAGAAAAGTTATTGTTTATGACAATGACATTTCTTGAGTGGATTTTTCCACCACTAAGTAATTTTGAAAATTGGAAATAAAAGCATGTTCCATTACGTTCCACTCCTTTTGTTATAAGAAAGTAGACTTTACAATGAGTGTTACATAAAAGTAACATCAAATGAATGTTAATTTCATGATACATTCTTAAAGGACCAGGGTGTAGGATTTAAAAGGCCCCGTAGAGCCAGTGTTTAGTCTTTCTGTCCTGCGCTACTGTAGAAACAAGGCAGTTCAACATTTTTTATTTTTTTTACACACTTAAAAAATACGTTTTACATTTGATCTTCCTAAATACCAAACCTTTAAGTAAGCAATTAGCATTACCAATTCCGAGTTGGATATCTAAACTATTGTGTACTGTTATGTTAAATAGGCTATAGAACACGAAATAAACTACACACATATAATATTCTTCTTGTCTATTAAAGTGCTCACTTGACAACTGATTCCCCTCAACTGTACCACCATCTCATAAACACTGGCTGGAGGATGTAATGTCACACCTCAAATTCAAACAGCTAAAGCCTTCTACTCCTGGATCAACTAGAAGGTTTCATAAGATCTGGCAACCTTTCCTGCTGCATTTACAAAATTGGACAAATCCCCATAAATGTGTAGGGGTTGATATTGGTGTGTGTGGTAGGCGGGACTATGTGAGCGTTTGGTTTGCTAATTTTGTCTACAATAGAAATGTCAACAGCACAGTGCTTTCTTCATTTATAGTACACTCCTCTGTGGGTAAAGTAATTTTTTGTTCATGCATGCAACCACTGTTGTGTGATAGCTGCTTTATGGTTCACACAGATTCATCCAGCCATGGCGTCAATCACATCCTCATTCTACCATGTTCTCTTCTCTCACAGTATTCACCTCTCCTCTCTGTTTCTGTCTCTCATTTGACCTTTCTCAGCATGGTGGAGACATGCGTTGAAATCTGCATTTCACACTGTTTATATGTCAGACTCGTCTGTACTTTCATGTTTTTTCTCAAGCAATAATACAGGAAGTTTAGGATGGTAAGATGGTATTACACTGACAGAAAAGAAAGCAAACATAAAGGAACACAGGATATTTCTCTTGGGGGTTTAAAAGCACATCATTTATTAGACCAATTTTAACAGTTCCAACTTTTGTAGGTGAGAATTAAGCATTTTTTACCATTGTACACTATACTCGCCCCCTTTTGCCCCAAACATTAAAAACACAGCTCTCTTTTATGATAATTATGTGAAAATGAATATGAGTGAGTTTTGTTGCTATGGAAAACAAAACAAAATAGTCCATATGTACCCCTCAGCCATAATGAAAAGTAAATATCACCAAATCAACATGTTGGGACAGTTAGTGGACAGTCAAGTGAGATACTAAAAACACAGAAGAAACTACCCCCCCATCCATTCCCTGCACCAGTCCCTGAAAAGCAAAAACCCAGTTACCCAAACAGTTAAATACATATTGTCAGATAAGATACTTCTCCCTTCTATAAACAAAATAAAATATACAGTTTGCTACACAAGGATTATAGTATCCACTTTTGACCTCCTGCAGGCCAGACCACAAAGAGCTACTCACTTTTATAAAGCCTATGGAGGACTGAATCAACCTTAAATTAATGCAGTTATTACAAAATAAATATATATAGTAAGTAAAGTAAATACGAATATGAATATAATTAGTGAAACTATATGGCACTCAGTATTGAAAACATTTAGTCAATTCTATGCAATTGTCAAGATACGTCAGGCTATCAAAGTAATTAGAAATACATAAATATACATAATATTTTGTTATACATTTATTTGTTTATGTTTATTTATATTTAGGGCCAATTCAGTCCTCCATAAAAAACAGACCACTCCTCTTTCTCAAAAGTCGTTTCAAATTCACATTACTAAAATGTGACCATTTGTTTTGAAACCAGTAACATTATTGCCAATGTTATCAGTTCCACATGATGAATAGAAAATAAAATACACAGATTTCATTTAAAAAATACAGAAAAAGTTCAAATCATTTTAAGTACTGGTCAAAGGCAACAGCATTCACTGTCCCTGCAGACATCCAGCTCACCTGTATTAAAACAACTTATACAAGATGCAGAATTTTATATCTTAATTCGTCTGTAATATGGTTTTGCTATATATGTACAGCAAAGAACACAACAAAATACAACAAAGTTTAATGCAGGAAATTTGATGGTTAATATTCTCTTTAACTTATAATGATGATCAAATTGTGAAATTCGATTCGAGCTACACAAACATGAACACTAACAAAAACAAACTCCCTCCTCTTAATTATGTAGTATGGTATAATATGAATATCATTGGTTGGTACTGTCAGGTAACAGGTTTGGGCACTTTGACTCACAAAGGTAAATGTGATGATTTCACCATTGTCACACTTCTGAAAAACTCAAGCTTAAACTCTGGATTAAGAAATAATAAGATCACACAATCCTATGTATTATTAAATGTCTGACTTTGGTGATTCCTAGTGGTAGTACACATACACTGCATCATTTGGCAGCAAAACCAATGGATGGATGCATGAGCAAATAAAATCCAGATGAAATTTTTCTTTCGGAGTATTTTTTGGTGAAAAATTGTTAAAAACTGAAAACAGTGATCTTTTACAAGCCATTTTGCTGTTCAAAAATAAGTTCACTTTTACATACATGGCAGTGTTTCCCTTATCCTGACCTGCAAAGGCCACTACTATGCTTGTGCGAGTATGGCTTGAGTTTTATTGTTGTATGAACTAACTACTATTAAGAGGCATTCCCACCCCACAAACCAAGAAAAAATTTATGGCAATAAAGATTGTGAGGAAAGTCCAAGATTCATATCTTCAGTGTGTGAGCATGTTTCTTGCAAAGAGGTTTGTCTTTCTTGGAGAAGAAAGTCTGGCCTTCCAGAGTGGTACAGCACACCTAAGAAAAAACAAAAAGATACACACACACAAACACAGAGGTCAAGGTCACGTAAGGTATATAGGTTTTCTATGAAATGGCAAAAGTCCTCATGGTATAAATATATCAATATAATATCATATATATTATATTGATATATATATAATACAAGATATAATATTCATCCTTAAAAATAAAGAGAAAAATGCCAGTGTAATAGGGTAACACACAGCATTATACAAAAACTATGAAAAATGTTTATTGATGACTATTTTGTAATCAATGTAAGATCCAAGTCCAGAAATGCTTAATGACACGTATAATTCGTTTAAGATGACATATAAGTAAACAAGGCGGATAAAAATATTTTAATGTGCCTTTTCATGCACCAATCGTCTGAGTTCCTTCAGCTACGACACGGATTTCACTGATATCAGAAGTTGGGGTCAGGGATGGAGATCCAGAACCGTTCCCCTACAATATCCATGAAATTCAACACAGGTCTAGTGCGCCTGTGCAGAGGCTCTTCGGTCTTGTGAGCAGTCTTGTGCTGACTGAGGAGAACAGGTTGTCAGTTTGTCTCCTACTCATGAGGACTAACCACTGCTTTAGTGATAAACATGTCAAATAGCCTGGAATAGTCCACAATAAAGCCGTAGTTTGGTGACTGAGCGACTCGAGTTGTTTGATTGTGTTTGAATGCAGTTTTACTAATGTGTGATACATTACTTCTTTTCAGTAACGACCTCAATACTGTTTTGCCCTCCCAGTTCAAAGACATGCTGGTACAGATGGACAGGAGTCTCTCAATTGATTATACTGTGAATGTACTGTGAAGCCTTCACTTACAGCGCAGACAAAGCAGGTGTCATGCCAGACGTAACCAAGGGCCTCCAGGAACTTGTCTCCAGCCTCAACGGGGAACTCACAGCCGTGACAGCCAGTCCCAAACAAACTGTAGAAGTCTTTCACAGACAAAGCAACATGACGTACATTACATTTTTTTTACTGTTAGAATAGAAGTTAATTGATAACAGAGAGCAGCTTGTGTCTATCCATCCACTGACTGTTGTGTCTTCTAGTCTGAGACATCATTCATCAGCCCTATCAGCACGGTCAGTGTGTCCAATGAGCAGATTGTTCAGTGTCATCATCACTCACCTCGTTCACAGTATGGTTCTCCATCCTCCAGGTGGAACGTGTTGTTTCTGATTGGCTGCTGACAGCAAGCGCACAGAAAGCAGTAGACATGCCACGTCTGTTTGAGGGCATTTATCACCTCCTAGGTGCAGATGCAAATAATGTGGTTAGTTGGAGGCATCACACAGTTCATTAGCAGCACAGGTCACTGTGTGTGTCGGTCACAGTAGCTGGAAATTGCATACAGTGTAGTGAAGTGAAGCGATGGTACCAGGTAACATTGCCTATTTGTAACCCTGTTGTTTATGTAATTAATCATTAAAAATCAATTTCTACATAAATGTAACTGTTTTACATGTGTCAGGGATGCATCCTTTGCTACAGTCCTTCCTTTTTTCATGTCACATTTAAATAATACGGGGTATTTTTTCTTGTGGGTCCACATGACCCAGCTTAAGATAGACAAACTGCTTTCTTTCCCACCCTTAAACTGTGAGAACACGACAGGACGAGGAATCAATGGAAAGTTGGTGGGCCAAAGTAAAATGAAGGATTAGAGGAGAGGGAGTGAGAAAACAGGTTAATAAGAAGCCGTAAGCTGGTTGAAGATGTGTGAGAAATAGAGGGTTGAAAGGGATTGAGGCTAAAGAGGTTAGAACACGTGAGGGATGAATGTCAGAGCTGTTGTGAGAGCAAAGATCTCAGCTTCCTGACACCCTGGGTTCATGCTGCACCTGCAGCCTCTAGGCCTCTAAGCCTAATTCTCCTAACACCCGAACATATACTGCATTCCTGAGTTTCAGTGGTGGTCATTATAGAAAATCTCTAAATCTACAGCTTGGCCCTCTTTGCATTTACCCTGCATGTTTGGGGTTGGAGCTGCAGTGGGACTGAAAAACAGGAACCTTTTTAAAAGTGACCCTTTATTATTTGGTCTCAAATTGATAACAGTATCGTTTTACAAACAATTACAATCCAGATAATAAAGCATTAGTGCAAGAATGGAGAGAGGCAAAGATAATCTGTGTTTACTCTGACATTTATCCAGGCTTGACAGCTATTAGAATCTAAAAGCGATCTTATCCACAGTGCTGTACTGTATAAGCCAAGGTATGAAGGTATGAAGAGAAACAGATCCCATAGTAATGAAGTCTTGTATGCACACATATTTCCGTTGAATGATAAATGTTGTGTCAACCTCTATTTTAACTCTCATTGAGAAGTAGGATGTTTTTTTTAATTACAATCATCAAGCTTTTTTGTAGCTTTAATATTTCAAGTAAATTTTCTCACATTTGGGACCTGCTTTGTGTTATCCTGCTCATACAATGTTGGCTACCAAACCCCCGTATGCATACAAAGTTCCACTTCAAACCCCTCAACCTACAGCTAGCCCAAAGTGGAAAAGTACAGAGCAGTGAAGACTAAGAATTACACTGACACGTTGTTAATCTAGTTGCTGTAAGGCAGTCACTCATTGAGAACCAACGTGTGGCAAAATGTTAATAACCAGAAAATAGAAATTTACATTACATTACATTATAGAAAAAGCATAGAAAAAACATAAAAACGATAAATACAAAAGTCAGACGTGGTATGTGTGACAGGTTTGCAGTGAATGCCACAGAGGAGGACTATCGCTTTTGGTCTCCAAACAACAGCTGGTGGAATTTTAAAACAGCCACACATAATGTCAAGGCGAGCTGTACAGTCAATACTTAAAATATTTAGACAAATGGGTAACACTGAGGCTTTTATCTGTTCCTGAACTGCAATGCAACATTAGTTGTCATCCTCATAATCTTTTGCAATGCTGAAAATGCTCAAGTTTTTCTTTACTGTTGATTAGGGTACATTCTGTTAAAAAATTATCAGAGCAGCCTGTATAGTAGTTTGATAAATGCAATGCCACCATGACTTCAACTCTGCACATACAAACACATATACACACACACATACACAAACCTACACACACACACACACACACACACACACACACACACAGACTGATGCAATTTGCTTCACACCAACTCACCCCCAATATCTTAGTCTGGCAGCGTCTGCATGTAGGAGCTAAGAACTCTTCATAGCAGTGTTCACAATAGACAGATCCCTGTTCTTCCACAAAGCCAGTATCTGCCATGGAGGAACGGCAGTGGGCACAGTTAAATTCCTCCTTATGCCATGATTTCCCCATTGCTACCAAAAATGGCCCTCTGAAAAAAAAGGATAAGTGGAAATTAACATTGGAATTTTACTTTTTTTTTATTTTAATTAACTTTTTTATTTTACCTGAAGTTACAAAATATCTCTGTATTGGCAAAAATGAACACTACTGTGAGTCCTGTGACCACATCATCAAATGTGTGGTTTTGTCCAATGAAAAAGAGAGGAAAAAGATTAGAATAGTCCCAAAGTCAGAAGGTTTACAATGTGAAAAATTATGAAATTGTCATATTAAAGAGGTTGGAACCAGTCATTTGTTGGCTTTTGTGCTTTAAGGATGTAAACAATTAATACATTAAAGGTCCTCTGCTTCCACTCAGACAGCACCTTGGCACTGTCCACTTTGATGATTAGGTAAAGCGGGAAAACATCGGAGACTAATTTACTCCGCACAATAGCTGTGCTTATCTGAGCTTATTCTGATAGTGGCCTGAGCTTGGCATCCATTAGCATGTGAGCTACCCTAGCCTTAGTGACATATAATGTAAGGTGACACAAGTTGGGAGATAACACCCTGGTAGGGCAGTCAGCTACCGGACAAGAAGCGAGATAGACAGGAGGGAGGAAGAGAGTCTATGTGTCCCTGTATGCAACTCTGACTGAACTTACACAAGGCGGAAACAAAAGACAAACCCTGCATTTAAACCATTTTAGTACAAATATGTTCTATCAACTTGTACGTGTGTGTGTGTGTGTTTGTGTTTGTGTGTGCTGTGTGTGTGTGTGTGTGTGTGTGTGTGTGTGTGTGTGTGTGTGTGTGTGTATGCATGTAGTGTTTCTGCATACAAGTGAAACATCACTCTACAGTTTGATCCACTGCAGTTGCAACTTAATTCCCCCTGCCCTTATCTACACTGCAGTCAGATCTTTGTTGTTCTACCGTTTCATACACAGATTATTTACTCGAGATGGTTTCAAGTTAATTATTTTGTGTCTTCCTGGGACACTGAATAATTGAGAAGTGGACATATTTAACTTTTCTATGTTAATTTGCTTGAATACAAGTAGATGTCTGTCCAGCCAAGTTGAAGAGATTGCCTCTTCTTTTGACTATCCCTGCGTAAGTAGTATACAGACATAATATGATACATGTCCATTGTTTCTGTTACAACGTTAACTATAAATGGTCATGACAGCCTCCTTCCTTCCTAAAGATAGAACCCATAGATTATTCATCCATAATATGTCCATAATGCAGATTGCTATCAAGAATGATGCTTGCACAATAATCATTGTATAGGATTATCTGTTAATTGAGTTGCCTTGTTAAAAAATAAATAAAGAATAAAGTTGATAAATGATCTTATTGTTAGCTTCAGTATTTGTCTCTCACCTGATGACCATGTTGCAATGGGCACACATGGGCGTACGAGTCCCAGCAGGGATGTGCTCTGCCATCTGGACCAGGGAGTCTTCATCTTTAGGGTGGGGTTGAGGTACAGGTCGGGCTGGGACAGGACCCCTTGGGACACTGGCACTTCCATTACCCTTCATACCGAAAGATGGGGTGATCAACCCAATCTGTGGACTGTAACCTGTAGGTGATGGAAGACAGATAAAAGGCTATACTGGTTAGGAAATCAGAGACAACAGAGATGGTAAAAGGAAACAAAAAAAGAGCACTTATGGCATCACAAAGTATGTGTGCGTCTATGTTTTCTTCCCAGGTGTGTAAGTTATTTGACCTCTACCCTCTTCGTCTATACACCCAGCAGGTGTCATGGCGGTGCATGCAGCTGGCTGACTACGGCTGTCACAACCATGAATTCACCACATCAATCTTCACAGAATCTTTCACTATGCCTTTGACACATTCCTATGGCATATGTGCTTGCATACACATGACCAAACACATACACATAGACCACCAAGAGGTTCCCTCAGCTAAAACCCAGACACCTGGCTAAACATGTAGCTCGGTCTTTGGTGTCCAGATGTGTTTTTGTATGCGTGCCTGTGGTGAAGCGACGGCTACTTTTTGAGCATGGCTTTACCATAACATGTCATGTTCAAGTGTGTCTGTTTGGGCTAAGAACAGGGCTGGGCTTACATTCATTGTTGGGGTTGGTAGGGAATTTATCTGCATATATTCGCCATTAAAAACCAGAAGATTTTTTGGCCACCTGGGGGCAGCAGAAACAAGCTAACTACACTAAAATCATCCCTTTTTGAGTTGATATGGCAAACTTGTAGGCAAACAGTTGCTTATTTACACATTCAGCTGTTGCAGAGCAACATTATAATCAAGTTTGAGTCATGACAATAAAATTGTTTTCTACTAAATTCTCTCTGCAGGTTCAATATGAGGACCCCTTTCACATTGTTTTCACATTGTAATTTGACAATCTAACCATAAAAAATATTGATTACAGCCGCTATTACTCTCATTGAAGCTTGAGTTTGACTGTTTTAAATGGAGGCTAAAACACAGCTTTAAGATGCCAAAGATATGAATTCTTTCTTCCACAATAAAAACGAGTTAAATGTGAGGAAAAGACAGTTTTAGGTCACACAGACACGGTTTGACGTTTCAGCCTTTTAGTAAAGCTGCCATAAATCATGCCAGCACTTCATGAGATTGTATGTTGAAGGTAAAGCTGCTTCAGGAATGAGGGGGAGCAGGAAAGTGAAGGATGCGAATGACAGCATTATAGTGTGAGTGTGTGTGTTTTCAAATTTTAACACCATGCCAGTTTGTTTTACAATGTGCATTTGCAACAAGGCAGTGGCTGAAGGCCTGGGATCCTTAACTGCAGCTCAGGATTCAGAATGGGTCCGTGCCTTACTGCTGCTAGGGCACTATACAGCTAGTAGTATATTTTCATGAGCCTTGGTCCCTGGGTAAGTGACTACATTTACGATTGTTGTTGAGTGGCAGTTACATCAGTGAGAGAACTGAGGAAGAGGAGACGACTTGAGCTCACAGACTGGATGGGGTACAAGTTGAAGCATGAGCTAATCATTTCATGGATAAATATTTACAAATAAACCGATACAAACAGGCAGACATATATTTGTTTTTTGTACGTATGTGATAAACAGAATAATGCCAAGAAAAGACACTCAGTCTCAGAATCTATAAGCCGCGTGCAGATGGAGTACAGGCATTATACTGCAGCTCTGTGGCTTGCCTTTAAAACTTTATTCATAACTCCCAACAGGTCCCTTCAGTAAATATTATCTTTCTAAAAGAGTGGAACTGCAGCACGTGTGACTGAGCGAGGCGCCACAGGCAGAGCGGGGCCTTTTCGCCTGCTTAATGGGCTTCCACAGAGGAAAAAGACGAGAAAAGAAAAAGAAAGTCTGCAATGACCTATTTCACAACATATGTCACGCTTCAACCATGGAAAATAAGCCTCTTTCCCCTTGCTAACTGGCTGCAACAACATTCAATCCAACAGCAGTAAATCAGTTTTACATTACGCCAGGATTTGGAACCAAACATTTTTGTATAAGAAAAAATTACACCTTTAAACTGTAGGGGTGAATATATTAATCAATCAAAATACATACTAAAATGAAAATTTAGTTCAATTCCTCGGTGAGAGTTTATTTTTAGAAATCTATTTGGGGGACTCTACATTTTGGGTATGCTTGTGCTTGCCGTGACTTATGCTAAGAAAACAGTCCAGGCCCCTTAGTTTGATTCTGCTTTACTAGTTAATTTAGTAAAAAGAAAATAAAAAACCATAACATGCCTACATTAAAATACTACTCACACACAGGCATACAGATATCCTTTTGTTGGATTTGGCAGCGGATTGAGGTAGTAATGTACTATTCCACAGATTTCATGCAGCAATTGGCTCGATCAACAAAAATGTATTTTAGTCCCTGAAACCCATGTATTATGTATTATATATATACTATATACTATATTCTTTAATATGAGTTAACAAAGGTGGAAATTTTATTTCAGTCAGTTAATAGGAGACATGCCAATTGTGGCTTGGTCCCAGGTTCATAAATCATATTTTATACAGGGTGGAAAAATTACAGCTGGCAATAACCAGCACTCATTGTGAACGTGTGAAAAAGTAAATGAAAAACCATTTAAGATGTGTCGCTATCACAAGTGGACAGGACACCCACAGTGTTTACCCTGGGTTGCAGCGGGTCCTTTGATCATAGTCTTGACAACTGCGGACTCGTGGCTGTTGAGTTCTGGCTCCTCTCCCTCCTCACTGCGCGGAGAGACATAACAGAAACACAAATGATATGTAAATCAAGTAATATGTTTTTTAATTAAATTCATTACATTAAAACAACCAGCCTCTAACCATTGCCCCTGCACATTAAATGTTAAATAAACTCAATTTGCACAGCTTAAAATGCAAAATACATACATTTGCATCTCGCTCATTCAGAGTGATGATCACACAGCAAAACAGCAAAATGTGGCTGATTCTGTTTGTGTATGTACTGCATAATATGTGAGTTAGTTTTTCCGTTATTTACAAAGAGGTAATCACCAGCAAAACATCTTTTAAATTCCACTGTACTCATAGCCACTAGGAAAAAAAACACATGAATGATAAGAAAAAAACTCTGGAACAGTCTAAATTTTTCAAGTTCCTGTCAAAATACGGAGAGACAGATTCCAGACCACCTACCTGCTGACAGAGCAAAGACGAATATGGTACCAACCAAAACACAGCATTCAGCTACAGCCAAAACAGTACAGTAGGCAACTTCACGGTGCACTTCCTACTTGTGACTACAATACGCACAAAAATGCTGCCCATGTGCCACTTTCACAGCAGAACAGAGTCCAGGCCACCAGCCTGATGATGGATAGGGGAAGAGTAGGTTTGCGTAGCACTAATAATACAGCACACCCATTCAAAACCAGTGCCAGAATATCAATTTAAATGACTTAACAGAGAGTAATTGACTCCAGTGGAGTGAAATATAGCATGGTGTAATGAACAAAGGTGCCGATTCCAGATGTACTGTAGGCAGATGCCAGACTAGCAGTACGAATGATGGAGGGGAGACAAAGATCTTATGGTACAGTATGGAGTTTAACCACATTAAGGGCCACAACAACTATATATGCAGCTTCATACAGGTACACATTGTTGCCACCGCCCTTTGTAATTCAAATGTCTCATGGATTTGGATGCTAAATTGAGGTCTTGAAGAGACAAACTGAATGGGTCCCTGCGGCAACATTGGCAGTCCATTTCCATGCGCCCCAAGAAATAAAAATAAATTTCACATTTGGGTCAAAGGCTGAGTAATTTTAAGAAACTCTGCAGTAAAAATTTAGTGGTGATCACATCAAACGATGCCAGAACACTAATTTAAGTGACGAAATAGAGAAAATGACCTCACAAGACCAGGGGTATTTCTCAGTATCCTACATTAAATAGATCAATTGGGCCTAGTATAGTGCTATGATAGGCGTTCAGTTCACAGTCAGTGACACATGCTGTGACACAGGGTGAAAGAAATGTAAACATGTAATATCCATGGCCATTGATTTGAGTACAAAGGCAATACATTTTGTTCTGAGCGCAATATATTCTCAAACGTTCCCTCCCTTGAGTCAAGGGGGTCAGATTTTCACAGCGCTGCGCTCCAAGTACGAGAAACCTTGTGTTGGATCTATGTGGGGCAACACCCTCTTTCCTTCTCCAGGAAAAAATGCTTCTGGGAGATTTTTGTTTCCTAGAGCCACAGAGACAAATTTTTGTTCTCTTATTTTGAACTTATTAAACTGGCCAATAAACAGATTAAAACAAATTACAAAATGTTTTCAGAAATGTTGTTTTGCTTAATTGAAATAAATATATTTTGACTGAATACAAAATATTCTTGCAGGTTTGGTTTAAAGTCCGGCTTTGAAACTCATTTTCAGTTTTTCTGTCTTACAAATAGATCTTCAGTCATATGTGGCCCCAGGGCCCCAAACTCTCCACTGCCTTTTAAAATGATGCAAAATGAATGACCTCTCTATGAGTAACATCAAGTGTGTGTTTGTGTGTGTGTTTTTAAGTATGTGCATGTTCATCAGCGCCAGCTGAGGAGCTTGGGTGGGCCAACAGTCTCTCCCCCAGACGTATTACACCCATAATGCATAGCTGTAGCCAATGCCAACAGTTGGATCACTGCTGTCTTCCCGTTGTGCCTGGCCGTTAGGGGACTCATGGGAGACAAGTGTTATGGCAACTGCAGTCATAGTTACGTTGAGTGGTGCCTGTATGTTTGTGTGAGTGAAAAAGAAAAGAGTTGAAGAGAAGAAGTGAGGGAGAGATAGAGGCAGAGACTATGAGGGGCGAACTGGAAGGCAGTGAGAAAGATAGAGGAAGAATGTCACACGTGTGTGCTGGCTTCACCTCAGTAGATGGTCTGTGTTTCAGCTGCCCTCCCTGCCTCTGATATTTCTTGCACACACACTTAATTTGAACACTTGGAACATTTGACATCAAATGATCCTTACACAGCAGGGGGTTCACTTCGTTTCCCACCCAGGAGATCTCTAAAATGATTGATTCATCCTTTCTGAATGACTGCTTAACTATGTAACTGTGGGATGGTAGTTGTGTGATACGTGGTCAAATATACAATTCACAAGGAAAAGGAGAAAATAGGAGACTTTAAATTTACCTAAACAAATAGACAGCATTGACGGGAGAGGAGAAGAGGGGGTCTCCCGCTTCTGTGGCAGACTGATGCCAAGACACCCTTTGGTGTCAGAAGAAAAATAACACAGAAATAAGGAATAAGGCTTAGAAACTAAAACATAAATACAAAGTAACAAAGATTGGTTGGTTAGATGGCTGACAGCATTCCCACCCTGGTTACATTTACATGTAACATTTAGTAGTTGTTACTGTCAAATACATATATTACTCGGAAAATGTGAATCTCAAGTAGATGGATAAATGGTTAGAAAAGGTATCTGACATGGATTGTGATAAATGCACCCAGTGGACTGTTGTGTTAGCATTGATTCCGGCTAATTAGCCTGTAGCCGATACAGTCCTAATCTAAGTACTCTCTATAGGAAAGAGACTGTCAGACTGCAGAACATCTCGCTTCATTCTCATTATCTGCTTATCATTTTATAGCCCATGTGTCTGACAGGGGGAGCCAGTGGATACTGTGCACACTAACTTCTTACATCTAAAGGCAGGCAAAACTGAGCGTAGACAGCAGGCCAACGGTGCCAAGTAGCTTCATTTTAAGTTCCATTTTCATTCGACTGCATTTCAGTTTTAACTATTGTCAACAATTTTGCATTAACCAACAGCACCTCCTCACCTGCTGTTAGTTCTGTAATATATTTATTGTGCTTCAATTTTCTCCAGTTCTACAATATGTAAATGTAAACAAACAACACCAACAACCAACAATCTGATTATTATAATTAATCATGTGGGGTTAACTTTAAAGTCAGTGCTGACAGCTCACTTTGTGAATCCTTTTATTTTACCCTCTCTGTATTTTGAACAGTTATATGCTATAAGTGAGTGGTTTCCAGTGTTTTCAGCTTGTGACCCCTTATCTACTTGCAATCCCTTATGGCTTTACTGTGGAAATTCGTTATGAGCAGTTAAATCAATGAGTGATTTTTGGAGGTGGACAGTAGAGTGATAGGAAATGAGGGGAGAGGAGAGAGAGAGAGAGAGAGAGAGAGAGAGAGAGAGAGAGAAGGGATTACATGCAACAAAGATCCCTGGTCAGACTCTGACTGTGGACGCTGCGATTACATGGTCAGCATCAGATCACCATTAATTTTTGTTTTTTTAGGCTGAAGACTTGAAAAGACATAGTTTTGTGTAACTGAAACATATTAGTTTTTTATACCTTTAATCAGGTCGTGACATCCTCAAATCTATCTTAGGACCACTTAGGGGATCCTGACCCTCAGGATGCTGAACCACTGTTATACGTAACCATAAAGGTAAGAAAGTAGCCTTTTTAACCTATTTATTCAGGAACGCTCTGATCACATTCACAGTTACACACATTCACACCTGAAAGCTGCTCAGTTGAACAACAGTCTAACCTGCTGGGTTAAGGGCCTTGCTCAAGGGCGCCTCAGTGGTGGTAATGAGGAAGGGCCAAGCACTACTTTTTCATTTTCCCCACCCATATTTATCCTGCTGGTCTGGAGATTGAACCGACCTCCCGGTCATAAGTACGCTTTTTGGCTAATTGGCCAAATTAAATTCCGTTTTCTCTACATTAAAACGGAAACATGAGCATCATCTTATATCAGCTTATCAAGCTGGATGATCCTGTAAAGAACAGGAAAGACCTCATCCTCATCATTCTATTAAGCTATTACACTCTGTGAGATTAAAGGCTATAGCGCCATATATTTAAATTATCTGGGCGAACAACATTCATTCACATTAGCCATATGGTAATTGGTTAACAACAGGTGACAAGTAGAGCAGGAAATAAGATGCTCCCCAGCCCTTCATTCATTAGAGCCAATTACAGCACAGCTCGTTAATATTCTCCACCAATCAGGCCAATTACATAAGAACTTAATTGTATTCTGCAGGACTGTGATTGGTTGATTAATGGAGACCCCGCTGTTTTGATTCAATAGTAGCCAGTTAGATTGCTGACCATCTGGACGTACTGGGCCACGTATGAACCTTGTTAACTGAAGGGATAATTAAAGAGGGATGGGAGGAAGGATGGAGAGAGGAATACATGTATTCTCTTTTAATCTGTCTTTGTCTTCCTTGCTTTGTTTCTGTACTTTGCACTTTTTTACATTAATACAATTCAGCCTTGGAATCTACACTTCTGTATCACTATTCTGTCAGTGGCCTTGTTCTGCATCTCTGTTTTTGTCCCAGTGTTTATCTTATCTGAAGTCTATTTTTTGCACGGTATGCCGCCTAATTATGAGACTTCTTGTTTGCTGGTACTGAGCGATAATGAGCAAAAAAGGGCAAATTTCAGTCCCCCAACTGTTTAAATTTGTAAAGTAACCCCCGTGTGTACTGTAGCTCCTACGAGAACTTGTATTATGCATCTCATAAATGTGTTGGTTTCGTTTGAACATTGAACAAATGGTCCATTAACATAGCTGACTGCTGTCCAGCAGCTCTCTGCACCACACAACAGATGGTCTATAATTCAGTACTGTGATATTCTTTGGATCAAATTCAATCCAACCACACTATACCATCCATGCATGTGCACATGCACGCACACACATACACACACACAATGACAAAGACATCCATCCATAAAGACACCCACTCAGACTCTCTCTCTCTCTAACACACACTTTTCATACTTCACGGTATAAATGCAGTTGTGTCCACTAGCCAATGACTGATCTCTGTGAGATGCTGCCAAGTTGTTTCACAGTGACCACAGAATGTCATAGTTGGTTTGAGTTGTCTCCACAGAGACATATGGACCATGTCTTTTGGTGCTGGCATGGTCTGACCAAACAGGGCTTTTTCACCGCCATGAATGGCATGTTCAGTGGACTCATGGGCTGTTTACACCATGTGTTAAAAATAGTATCTTATTTTTCTTTTTTTTCCTTTCCAAAATATTAATTTACAACTTCCAGGCTTGCTAGTTTGATTGTGCTTTCAAACCATTAGTTGATGAGTGCTACAATTGTGTGCATGCATCACATGACATTCATATACACAGTGAATAAGTCTCCACATGGCATATCACATTATTTGTGAAGTAGATGATTATTTTCACTCTTTCATGGATGTCAGACCTGGACAAAACTGTATTGAAATATTGATTGCTCTCAATCCTTTTCAACTTAAAATCATGTTAAGCAACACTTCTCAAGCAGTTATTCAGTAAGTGTAGCTTTGTCCAGGTCTGCCCTTTCTACCTCTTGTTCTTGGGCAACTGCAGCTCACTGACGCTACGACGCTTCTTCTTCTTCCTCAAACGCAGTGGTGAAGGTTGTGTGATTGGAGTGATGAGCAGGGCGTCCAATAAGGACCGAGACACTGCCTTCTCAGGAGGGCTGCTCTGATAAGTTGTTCTGACATGGTGATGAAACATTGAGAAAGAGAGGAGGCAGAGGATGGACAAGAAATTGCGATGGAACCAAGATTATAAAATTTTTTTTTAGAAGTAGAGAGAGTTAAAGGACACTTGAAGTGAATACACACACAACACTGGCACATTCTATTTACCTCGCCTGCAATGGACTATGGTGCTCAGCGTGTTTGTGTCGTATGGGATGTTTGGGGGCACTGGGGGTGAGAGGAGGGGGGCGGGGGGCTGCTCTGGGCAGGAAGTCCAGAGGACTTGACAGGAGTTCTCTCCTGTTTAAAAATACACACATACACGTATACACAACACCAGTGCACCATATCGTAGAAGACAGGAGGACTAAGCTGACCAAAATACTGAAAAAAATAAAATAATATTGATATATATTAATATTGTGACAGCTTGGTATTGCTCCTATTAATAGTGACAGTAAGGTTAAGTTTCCTGTAACATTTGAGAAGAAACCCACTGTACACTGTACCTGACTGGTTTGGTAGAAAGTACATGATGACGTGCATATATTTGAGATAGATGTGTATTGACTTGGACTGGGAAACTGGGAGGATAGAAAGATGTAGACAGGATAGACATCACAGATTGGACAGGTAGTTGAAGCAATTTAATGAGATGTCACTGAAAAGTTTACTTCATTAGAATTGTTGTGCAGCACCTGTGTTGAGGAGAAAGGTCAAACCGAGTTTGTGTTGCCTTCAGAGACTCAGAAGCTCGGCTATATAATTTGCGGTCATCACCATCACGATCAGTCAAACAGTCACTGGACTTGAATTTTTCTGAGTCTGTGCTGTCCTCTAGTGGTGTCAAATGGAAATTGCTAGACCAAGGTAAAAAAAAGTAAAGGAAATTATAAATTTTAGACATGTTTTTGGTAAATACTGTGAGCTTTTATAAAAAATAAATAAATAGATAAAAATCACAAGCTCAATGTACCTTCCAGCTGTTGGCACTTGAAAGCTTGATGGCTCTGTAACTGTACTATGTGAAGCAGCTCGTCTATGGTCAGGGACAGAATCAGGAGAAGCCTCTGGTGCTTGGTTTTGAAATAATGAGGCGTCACCACAGTGTGACAAGTATAGTCCTTGACCAGGTAATACACTAAAAACAGGTAAACAGGAGGCTGGAGTGTGGGCACAAACAGGACTGGGTCCAAGAAAATGTGGCATGTTGGCTGGCAAAAACACTGCATCATTTGGCCTTTGGGCATGAGATGATGGTATTTGATTTGGGGTTGAGTCAGAATATGTTACAGGTACCAGCATTGGAGCTAATGGATAGTTCATGTTAGACAAATGGTTTTGGTGCATTTGACAAAACATGTCAACAGAACTTGAATACGGCATAGGGAAGCCAACCAAGTGAAGGGGGGCTGTAGATGACACATTGTTCTCTTGATGTTGGGTGTTTAAGAGGCTGCCAGGTTTGGGAATGAGGACATAGTTGGAGATAGTAGCATCCTCCTCTGGCTGTTGCTTATTGACTGATGAGCCTGCCAGCTGTGGCTGTGGTTGATGTGGGATCATGTGACCAGATTCTGCATCATTCAGTCCACTGAAGGCAGAGAGTGTTACCCCTACTTGGTCAGAAGATTCATGTGTTGGAGATCTGTCACTGGCAAATAGCAGGATATAGTAGTTCAGTACGTTGTGGTTTTGGTGAATTGTAAATAAATATTTTAAATTAAAGAAATCAGTTTGTTATAGTGGAGTAGTGAAAAAGTTACTTATGTGAGATTGGTGTTATGGCTTGCAAACTTCAAATTATTGAACACTTGACTAGAAGAGGTCAGTTAGTTCATTAAGAACTATGTGAAAGTGACTACTGTGTCCTGGGACTATTTAACGTGACAGGTGAAGAGGTGAAAAAAGTTTGGATGATGATTTATACCTGACCTCTCTACTGTTTGTCTCAGATTCAGTGAGACAACTAGAAGAGAAAAGAGTGAAGGAACTAAGGAAGTAGGAAAGAAAGGGAAGAAGGTAGGAAAGGGACACCAGAAAAGGAAACAAGAAAAAACAGCACTTTATTAGCTACAATATAGAATAATAGTTTTTTCAAACTCAAAACATTTTCAGCCACTACATATGGGGCTATTTTCAAAATGCAACGCTATTACAGTCTACAAAGAAGAAACTATTATCAAAGTTAGCATAATCTGCAGTAAATAAACATACGGATGAAATAAATGTAAAGGCACTAGAGAAATATTTTACATTGCAAGGGCCTAAAATATTACCTTTGCATTATAAGCCATTTATAGCATTTATACAATGACTTCAACTTCAACAACCTGCTCACTGAAAAGAACCTTCCTTACTTGCATAATACCTTAAACCATACATATGTCTTACAGCCCCAATCTAGACAGTTACATTCCAGCAGCATAGCATATACACTATTTAATAATATATATTGTACATACTGTACATGCTTGACAAGTTGAAATCGCTTCCCATTTTTCAGATCCCACCATATCTCAAGACAGTGTGTTCATAAAATAGTTCCAATGCTAGCAGATACAACAGATGTAAACAAGCTATTAAAGCTTTTTAAATAGAGCTGCAGTATCTTCTGTAATATATAGTTATACAATAGTAATATATAATATAAAGGGACATTGGGTGCACTCTCACAAAAAGAAAGGGCAGATTTTCTATTTTCCTTCTTCCAAATGATGCAACATCTCCTTTTGCCACCATCCAAATTACAGTGGTACAGAAGACACTGAAGTGAGTGAGGGATGTTTGTAGTACACATTTTGAATGTTTCTTTCTCATTAGCTGTATTGTAGACTTCCACAATAGGATGCAGGGTTTGTCTATTTATACTGAAAATGCAAATTTTGTTTTCTTTGTAACATCATGTTGTTCAGTGTTTAAGAATGAACATAGTTTTTGCATTTTATGTGCTGCAGTGGAGTAAAAAAAGTCAGATATGCAGATAGACAGCTGCATATTTTAACTTGTTCAGACTACTATTAGATCCTTCAGCCTTTTAGACTTTTAATAAAAACTCTATATTACTTGTCTTCCACACAAGGACTCCGCTTGAAACAAATTGAATGTGTTCCTGTAGGTTTTCTGGCTCAATGCTTCATCCTAAGCATCCAATTTAATGTTTTGGCGTTTTTAAAAAACACTACGCATCTAAAGTATACCTTTAGGGCTGGAATCAGTGGAGTGGCCGAGCACATAAGCAGCACTTAATTAAAGGTCTGAATGAGGCCAGCACAGTGCAGGCACATAAAAGTGGAGGACAAGCAAACACACATAGACACACACACACACACACACACACACACACACACACACGCATTCACATACAGACACGGAGAGACTCCAGCAGTTCCTTTGCAGGCTCATTCCTGCATTCTTTTCTTTTTTTCCTTTATTCCCATCAGTCCACAGGCCTTCAACATTCAAGTTCATAAACAACCACTTACAGAAGTCAAACTGATATACTGCACACATACACAGGCAGACAGTTATACCAACAAGACACACACACACACACACACACACACACACACACACACACACACACACACACACACACACAGTCTACTCGACATTGAGGGTGCGAGCGGACACTCCGTGGTGCCAGTCTCTCAGCTCGTTGTACTTAGGGCCAATTACCAACCGAGTGGTGGTCTTGTTCGCTCTGTGTTCACAGGAAGAGAGGAAAAGAAGGGAAAAAAACACACCAAAAAAGAGAGAAAAGGAGGATTTAGGAAATGTAGAGCAGCTTCCCTGCAATCGGCGATGAGATGCACTGTGAGCCATGCCACGAGGGAGGCTTGATGATGCAGTAACAACTGGACAAACAAGAAGCTGATGATACACAGGGTTTGATAGGGTGGAGATGAGCAGTTTTTCTATCATCATCAGAATAGAAAATGATACAATATACAGAGTATATCCAGAGAACAGTTAACTCCTGTCTCGAAGGACATCTTTAAGGGGTCAAAATGCACCATGAACCCAGGCCGGTATGGACTGAAATTATGAATTAATTCAACCATGAAGCCACACACAACAGCAACCACAGACAGCGACAATGTCTGCATGATAACACAAGTGATCACAGACAAACGGTGATCATATGTATCGCCACAAAGCTCACCAAAGGAAATGGACAGCCAATGGTTCACATCACACTGAGAGCTACGCCACAGTCCAACCATGATTGTCAGCAACACAATCACAGGTTATACAACATGCAGCACTGCAACGCTGTCACACATCCACAACCAAATGCACAGACAATCATTGTTTATTTTAAATGTCAAAAAAAGAAAGGCATGCTACTTTCAGCAATCTGCGAGGGAAATTTACTTTAAAATTCTGAACTTTTGGCACTAGTGGGAACGGACATTCTGTAAAGTGCATAGAGGTCTGGCTTTTGACTTAATGGCTCAAACATAATATAATCCTTTCTCTGCTGTCTAGACAGGAAGAGTCCACACAGCATCAATACAATTGCCAGAACTGTGCCACAGATATCTAAAGTCAGATTTTCTGTTGCTCCATAAATGCAGCCTTTATACGTTAGATACACCCAAACAAATGGGTTAAAGATTATATTTTATGGACTACGTATTGTCACACCACACAATACACTTCACTCATTCAAAGAAAACAGCAAACAAGGATAGCCAGTATAGGGCTATTAAAACCTCAATCAGCATTTTCATTGCCATGTACTTACTTTGCCTTCTTGGCTGCGTCAGCTTCCTCTTCTTGAGCTACAAAGGAAAGAATAAAGACAATAATGAGTCCAATAGAGAAAATAATGTGGTTGTAATAATTAAAATATCATTGTTTGCCCTGTAGAGGCTGCACTGTTCTCTTATGTGTTAACTCATTAGTTCAGGTGCAATAACAACAGTCTGTGCAAAAATCACCACTGTGTGCACTTCATACCATTCTCAGTGCCAGTGATCTGAGCCAGAATCTTGAATGATCTGGACTGGGTGGTGCCGGTGCGTGGGCGCCAGTCCTCTGTGTCCTCCATTATGCGCTTCCTGCTGGCATCAGCATGAGTGGGCACATGGTAAAAATGGATGTCTGTGTCTACGATGTGTTTCCTGGGAACTCTGGAAGGACAGGATGGATGACATCATTTTACATGCTCCCTCTCATAATTGATCAAAGTAGGAGATGAAGGCTGATGTCAGTTCCTAGGAGGTATTGTAACTTATTAAAGTGAAATGTAGAACTAATTTCTCAGGACTCGGTAAAATATTTTATACTCAAACACTGACTACTGTCAGCAGTCATGTTTAGTCAGTTTAGGAGGTTAATTTCAACCAAGGATTTTAAATTAATATGTAGAACATTATTTAACACACAGTCAGTCAGTTAGAGGAATGGTATAAAACAGTTTGATATGCAGACTGTAGGTTACATGAGATGGCGATGTGACACAATAATGATGATAAAATAATCACCTACAATTTGTGCTTATTAGATAAGAAAAGGGGGAAAATTCACACCACAATTTGTTAAATGCATTTGGAGTCTAGGTCTGAATCGATCTGATACCTTGGCGGTGGGGGTTTTCTTGATAACCAATGGACAGAAAAACGGGATAGAAGAAAACAGAAATACACTTAATAGGGAAAAAATAAAACATAGAGAGATAACAGAATAATTTGAAAAGACTTACTTCAAAATACTTTGAGGTCCACTAAAGGGAAGGTAAAGAAGAAGAAGAGGAAGAGATACAAGTACGAAGAGTTAATTAAATTATATAAATGTATTAAAGGAAATGTTAATAAGCAGAGAGAAGAATATAATTGGAGGAAAAACATATGGACACAACTCCCAAATGCATGCAAAACAGAGTCCAAATATCAATGGAGACATTTGATCGCATCAACAGGAGGGCAAACAAACTCCTAACATCCAATACAGGTCAATTCTATTTTCAACCACATGGTGGAGCTGATGATTTGTCTAGATTTCTTTCAAAAGAAAAATTCATTTATAATTTAGATGGTCGGAAAGTAAAAGTATAGAGAGCGTAATAGAATAAAGATGACCATGAAAAGCATGCACATTTGTTTTGATGACTGTGCAGCACATTTATGAATTAACAAGTGCCATTTGTGTGAATGCACGAACGGTAAATGTGTGTATCTGCAATCTTCCATGGCAACAGAGTGATGACAGGCCCGTTACTAATTGGCTGTCAATAAATCAACTCTGAACTCAAATATACACACATACACACAGAGGGGCATTGAAGACTTTTCAGGCACTGCTGTCAATAAATCACCTATAAGTACACACACACAGACACACACACCAACACACTCACCTAGCACACTGAATAGACTGATTTATGAGTGTCTCTCTCAACACATTCTTGTCACAGCAGCAGCTATGTGGGTGTGGGAGTGCTGACAGCTCTATGTGAGCCTGGTCACACACATACAGTTATACTGGAAGTGTCTGACTATATAGACTGTGTGCGTGTGAATATCAATATTTGTGATTTATAGTTGAGCTAAACTGTAACCTCAGCATATTGTATCCCATACAAAAACTTTAATCAATTTTGATTGGATGCGTGCTGCAGTTTTTGCATAATATAAACAGGAAATTAAGCTAATTGAACTATTAAATATTACTATCAGATATCATGTTCTGCAGTAAAATAAGCACATACATGCAGTTGCGATGATTAAGTAGACACACACAGGTACAGAAAGAGTTGGAGGAGTAAAAAGGAAGGAAGGCAGTCAAACACTCATAACCTGACATGCTTCAGAGACTAACTTTGTGACTGGAGGAGGTGCTGAAGTCTGCAAAGCGGAAAAAAGAAGGATTGAAAGGAAGACAGAAAGCCAGAGAACATTGACATACACTTGTCCAAATTCTTGCCATTTTACAGTAAAAACACTGAAAGCTGCCATTCAAAAATCCCCTCTGAAACGAACAACACGGCTCATATACAGCATGCAAACAAGCAAGCAAGATGCAAGGATGGACACACATGCTGTCTCATATGTCACCTCAGCAACAGAAAGAAAGAAATTAATTAACTGATACTGGAAGAAAATAACCAATTGCCAATTCTACAAAGAAGTTAGGGCGAAGTGAACCCCGTATGTTGACGTCTCCTGCGGATGACCAAATTAACAAGCTCTTAAACAGTCACTGGGAATATAAGCAGGATGAAAAAAGGTGAAAGAGGCATAGAGATAGAAATGTTTACATGAAGAAAGCAAGTCTACCTCATACAGAGACATCCAGATCTTGCTTTAATAAAGTACTGTGCTATTAAATGTCATCTGTAATACTTTGGGAAGGCTATGTAACCCAGTGAAATGCAGCTTGTGTGTCTGTGCGTGTGTGTGCAGCTGCTTGGTGTAAGATTATATTGTGCAGATCACTGGTGTCTGCAGAGTCTCACAGAAAGAGAAACCACTTTTGTCAGTGTGTTGCCCGGAGAAAAGAGCACATAGAGAGTATAAACATGAAAATGAACGGAGATATTATGAGTCACAAAAGGAATCTATTCAGTCCTTTTGGTATCTTGAGTGCAGTAAATCAGAAACATCATCATCATCACAACATGTATACCGCCTTGTTTTGAACAAGTGAAGGAAAAACATGATGACGGTGTGTTAGTCTGTGAAGAGACTGTGTAAATCTAAATGGATTCAAGGCTGAAACCTTTATTGACTGACTGATTTGCTACAAGAGCAAAGAGAATGTCACACAGCTCGAGTTGCAGGCTAAATATACACACAACTTAGCCATAGCATCATAGTATAGTTATACTCACTATACCTCTGGAGGAAGGAGAGTTGGGTTGAGACAGAAACAAAGGGGGGGAGGAACATGACGGAGGGAATTATGTAAAGAGAGGCTCTGAGTGAGAAGAGAGATGGGAACAGGCAGCTTGGGTGTGAAGGGAAGTATTAAATATGGTAAATTAGAGAGATAATGGAGAGAATTAGAAAGACAGAAGCAGAGAGGGCAGAGTGCCAGTATTACCTTCGAGTACTAGTAACCACCAATATGTTTTAAATGTGGTGCTCTCTTAAGACACCTGACATCGATTTAAAATATAAAATGAAAGCAAAAAGATAACAAAAATGCACTGGCACACAAAAGTAAGTGGGAGAGTGAGTTGATTTGTTTCATGGCAATAGGTTGTTATGTGCTGATGACAAAGATCCAACCATTGTGACAGGAATTTTGTCCATACACATTTGTAGTAGTTTTAGCTGTAATATTTTCTAAAATGTAATGTAAAGTGTATGTTAAAGTCCTACATTCTAAGATTTTAACCTTGAAAATGTTTTTTTTATGTTTTATTATGTTATATTAACAGGACTTCAAAAATGCCTTTAAAGTCCATCAACTCTCCAGTTTTCCATCACAAGAACGAAGCTATTAAAGGTCTTTCAGTGCAGAATTTCCCTTCTCAAGTTCATACAGCAAACATATCGTACATTCACCGCTTTAGTTTGCTTAGATATCAGTGTTCTCTAACATGACCCGGTATACAAATAACTGACAGTATTTGGTGACATTTTAAAAAATGGCAACCAAAACAAGCTGAGACACTTTTCAGCACTATAATAAACAACACTCATAAACAGAGGCACCATAATTGGGCTTGTCTTGCTAACTCAAACCATGGATCTCAATACTGTGTGCAGTAGAGTACAGTATTGTGCTTCCCTCCTCTGACCAAAACACCAACAGACATGTGAGTCTGATTTAATGATGTGGAAGAACTTTGAAAATCACTTCCAACATTTTAAGATTCCAAGTTGAAGTCTGGCCAGCCTGATCAGCAGCCTGCATGGAATAAACAAACTTTAAAATGGGCTTGGAAAAACACCAACTTTGTAAATCATGACAGAAGTATATTTTTTTGTAAAGTATATACTTGTCCAGCTTAAACAGAAACTAAGTGCGGACTAAAGAAAGAAGAAGAAGTTAACAGTGATCTAAATTTCAATCGTCATTGCGTCTTTTTTTCGAAAGCACCATCCGACAAATGCTGATGGCTACTGCACATACTGGTGTATTTCTAAAATTGTACAAATCCGTTAGATCCAAAAAAATCGCAACTGATCTCATCTCCTATTTATAACATATAACTATAACAGTGAGAAAGTTGAAAGTAGATTCAGAGAATTGAAGCATTTGTTTGATTGGCTGGAGAGAACGCCACTCACCCATTCAACTGCAAAGGCAAGGCTCCACCCTGACTCTCCAATAGGCCCCGCCTCTGCCCCATGGCCACCTCACATGCGTTCTCATTGGAGTAGAGGTTGATCGGTGTGTTATACACTGATGGCTGGGGCGGAACAAGGACAGGGGGGGAGGACGAGGAGGAAGAGGATGGGTAAGAGACAGGAGGTGGAGGAGGAGGAAGAGGAGGACTGTTGCGGTGGAAGGAGGCAGGAGTAAAGGCAGAGGATGGAGATGGTATGAAGGGAGCAAAAGGGGACTGTGAAGGAAGGTATTCGCGCTCTGTTCCGCAGCCCCCGTAAGGTCTGGGGGCTTTGTTGTAAGGGGCGGTTGAGGGGCTGGAGGAGTGAAGGTGGGGATGGGGTGGTGGAGGTGGATGGGTGAGGGCCACTGGTTTTATGATGTCTGATCTGTCATCCTACCGGCATGAGAGAAGAGCATGCAAATACAAACGCAAAAACAAATCATAACACAGCACGCACTATACTGATGCTTCTCAGGTTATTTATGGATATGTGTTTATCCCATAGGCTTTCTACTGTATAAAACCTATGATTTGCCCATATAACAAAGTTTAATTCAATTTAAAAAAGTCAATTAGTTTAGTACCTGTAAATGTGTTCTGATCATTTTCTTGGAAAAAGGAAGCATCAGTATACTTAACTGTCATTTACAATATAAGCAATGTAGTAACATTAGAAAAAACACAACATAAATCAAAACAAATGGGGTTTTCATGCAACAAAACTGTGTGTGTGGCATCGTTTCAGAAGGGTGTAATAACTAAAGAAAAGAACTTAAAGCATGGTACGCCAGGTGAATTGCAGTTTTTCTTTTTATGTTGCCATTAATTCAATGAACTCACAAGTTTCTTCTCTTCCTGTTCTATAGTTAGTCCACAGTTGGGTGATTAAAAAGGGATTATATTATTTTAAATGAACAAAACTTGTATATCCAAATGGCAAAAAAACCAACAACTGCCCAATAAAAATAAAATGACATAAGACCTCAGAATAATACGTTTCTTATACAGTCACAGTGTTTTTGACAACTGGTAATACTTTTTATTAAACTATAAAAAGCATAGATTTAAAATATATCTTAAAATGTATCCATACAGCCAAAATAAAGTTTTTCACCTGACGTGCCTTGCCTTAATCAAACAGCAATATTTCATAATTTTCTTCAATCCATAAACAGACACTCAAGTGTAATTTTCTATTTTTTCAGTCCCATGCTATGTTACAGTACCTTTGGTGCCACGGGGGGAGGTTTAGGAACACTGGAGGCCCTGGAAAGAGAGAAGAAGAAGGGAAAAAGAAAATGCTTGAGTTATGATCACACAACCCCAGTTATTTTTCATTTCAATATTTCCTTAAATAAAATGTCTGAAATGTATTCTTATAATAGATTTAAGTGACTGCTAGCCAACGCCGTGTGGGTAAAATAGCAGGAGCTTTTCAAAGGCATACTCACTGATATTTATAGAGCCATTCAAAACGGTGAAGGCCATGCTGTAAAATGTGTAGATCTTACTGAGGTTGAGAGAAACTGTGGTTATGCTGAATTATGACTAAACCTGAGCTCTCAGCATAGAAATCGACTTGGAGAGGTTTCTGTCATCAGCTGTGACAGAATCCAAGAGTCTCACTGTGTCAGACTATGTAAACTTAAGCTGCTAGGGCTGAAAACTGTGGTCTCTTTCAATGTACGTGTGCTTTTGAAGGCAGCTGTTTTTAGTCTATAAAGGCTTGTATCAATCTGATACTCTTGGTGTTTGATACTCTTGATGCCACATTGAGCAATGAGCTACCCTAAAAGGTCATCTGTGGAACATGCCTCTAACTATCCACACTGTTAAATTTACTCTTAAGTGACAACAGCTAAGCACCTCATCCTAATGTTCATTTTACTGAGATATTTTTTCATCTGTTTACAGTGTTCTTAGTTGATCTGCCTGGTTTAAAATGTTATTGATGCGATAGGACAGGGCTTCATTGAATAAACGTGAACTGAAACAGTTCATTTAAAGCAGCTATGGAGCAATATTTTTGAACACTTAATATAAATCATAATAAGTGTTCAAAAGAGAATTTGTTCAGTGCACGATTGAGCATCATATGAAGGGGAAAACACATGAGTTAACGTAAATTAAAGGTTAAGTAAACTGTGCAGTAACTGAAGACTTGCGAATGTCAGCAGCCCCGAATTCCTTTCAGAGCAGTCCTTCCAGAAACTTCCTGAGGGAGGCTCATGTCCTTCACCTCTGTAAATTTGAACCGACAGCCTTGTAATAGCTAGAAACACATCAGTTTACAGATACAGCTACTCATGTGCTTGGCCTTTTACTCTCCACCTCTCGCACCTCTTCAGTTTTGGTTTGCCAAAAGTGTCACGATATTGCTATTGTGAGCCTTTGATATGAGACGTAAGGATATTAAATTATATTAATACCCAAAGCAAAAAGGCATAAACTTATCCTGACCTTCCACAGGAACAGTTCAGGCAAACAGTCTGAATCCTATTTTTAGAAGTGAGCCTGCCAGGCTGTGTTGTGCCCCCAACAAGCTTTACTGACACAATTCTCTAAGATATGGATGGTTAATTACGGTTATGGTTTGACAATCATAGTAAAGAAGATGGGATTTGTATGCTGTCTTAACAGAAGGTCTTCCTCGAAGGTTCAACCAAAAGCAAAATAACCCTGCTGAGCAACTACTAAAGATTGTCCTAGTATCACTTGAGACAATATGCCTCACCTATTTTTTTTTTTGTCTTATGTATGCCAGCCCTGTGGGTTTCCCTGGACATACTATACTGTCAACAATCCAGGAAGTAACCGATCAGCACAACACCATCGACATCAAAGCTGATCCGAAGACAGCTAGGAAATCGCTTGCACAACCAATGGCTCTGACATGTGTGAGGCACATAAAGTAGGAAGGAGAACACCAGGGTATCAAGTAGGTATTTCAAATACGTCACCGTCATCGCTGTGTGCTGTAGCCTTGATTACACTGCTGCTATAATTGGAAACACCAACATGGAAATGTGTTGGGGTCATATGGTGAGAGGGAGAGAAAAAGACGCCTGCTAGAAAGTCAATGAGAACCAGAGTTTAATTTAATTCAAAAGCTTTCAAACTCGAACTCTGGGGATTTGCACAGTCAAAGGTAATTTTAGGTTTCTAAACAAGCAACTGTTTTGTTAAAATGCCTTTTACGTTCCTGGGACTTGGCGTGACCTTGGGAGAACTCATGAGAGTTAGCCAAGGTTTATCTTCCTGAAACTTAAGTAGCTGTCATTGTCAACTGAGCCTTAGAGAGTGTTTTGAAAGTGTTGCATTGGCTGAATACTGTACGTATTAAAACAGCAGTAACCAAATTTGCTTCTGTTTTCATTTTGAAAATGGCCGAAAATTGAAAACTTCTCACCAGAATGTGGGACATGTGTTGGGCAATGATATCCATTATAGGAGAGGAACAACAGGACCGTATCAAGCACTTTACCACAGGCATGTTTCTCCATAGCTCAAATGTGTGAGGGTTAGAGAGTTAAGTGGATGCAATAAAGACACTGACAGTGTGACAGTGACAAACATAGTATTTTATATGTCTACCTCCTGGGCTGTACATCTACATGTGTGTGTTCTTCTTCTTCTACCAACAGTTTAATTGCATTCAGAGTTTAAGAGCAGCTGGTATACAACATGTCTCTGTTCTCTGTGTAAGCATTTGTAACTCTGCATGTTGCATGTTAACTGTCAGCCTCTACGTGTCTGTGTTTCTTTCACCCGGCTTCATGTTCATGGAAGTTTTACATTAAATAGCGATTGAGACTGTGAGTTTCCCCAGCAGTTCTTTGTGGTGACAGCTATTCTGGTTTTGCTTTGATACTTCACCACATCCGAATGCATGCTGTGGCTACAGCGGTGCTTAAACATCTTTCCATATTTTGTTAAGTACAAGTCATTTATGGTAATATTTCTTTTAGTCTACTTTGAATATTGGTCATGAGGGTTTGCGTGCATATAAAACATTTTGTATGTTTTCTTAGTTTTCTTGGTCTGGTTTGTGATGTTTTCCTAATTAATTATTTTTTGGGAGATACATAAGAAATTACAGAGCTCTGACAGTATGCTTTCATGGGTCGTTACAATTTCTCTGTTCTGTTTCCACTGTGTTTAACAATTTTCTCTTTTGGAATTGGTAGGGAATGAACAAAACAACAAGACATCTTAAAACAAAATAATGCAATCCAGCCTTGCAGTAAATATTGTAAGATGGAAAAATTGTTGAGTTTTAGATATAGCAGTATGTTAATATTTGAGCCCATTTTGTGTCACGTTGAATTGCATTTTATTTAGTTATTTTCTATTATTCTGTGAGTCTCGGTACAACATTTTTATCTTCATCTCCTCATCCGATGTTACTGTATAACGTACTGTATGAACATCATTACAGAAGCCAAGAGCTAAACTGTTCTATAAAATGTACAACTTTCTTGTCAAATCTTTCCAACAGCATATTCTCTTTTAATGTGCCACCATATATTACCTTCATGCTGCCTTGAATATCTTTACAGATTTTCCTACATTTATGCATTACAGTAAATAGATCTGTCACAAAGATCAGGATGCCATCTCTTCTTTATCTCCTCTCAAATCATCCATGTCCTCGCGGCTGTTCTGTGTTCTCAGTTGTGCATTTATGTTTAATCTCTCCGGTCTATTCTTACCCGAGTGAGATCATTGACCGATGTTTCCAGGGCTGTGCCCCGACACGGCATCAGCTTCACCAGCAAGCAACCAGCCATACTGAATCAATGAGAGATTGGGGTGTGATTTTATGTCTAAAAGGGAGTGGTGGTCAAGATGCAGAAGTGGCTTAGGTGGAGGTGAAACTGACTGGGATCTGTTAGTAACACCAATAGAAACCGAACACACTATGCAATACAAACACAAATACACACATTCAAGCGCTACATGTCTGAATGAATTTTACAAGTGGAAGTGATTCTGTCACATAATGCCTTTGTGTGTGTGTGTGTGTGTGTGTGTGTGTGTGTGTGTGTGTGTGTGTGTGTGTGTGTGTGTGTGACCTCTCATAAAGTGAGTGTTTTTGTAATTTTTGTTTACTCAAACACACTAGAGGAACAGCTACACACACATCATTGCATTTCAGCAAAAAGCAGCTCTTTAATGAAGTGTGCTGCCATTTGGATGACAGAATCATTAAAAGTAGTGGGCGGACAAAGGCCAGTTGACATACACCCGCACAAATACACACACACACACATGCACACACACACACACACACACACACACTCACACACAATAATGTATTATGCAGGGTGTGGTGACAGTGATTTCAGGCATGACGGGTTGGCCCAGGAAATGTTACTGGGGTAGTGCAATAACACAGACTAAAAGGGCCAGTTTATACACTCTGCAGCATCTGCACCTGCAAATAAGCTTCACACAATCACACACACACACACACACACACACACACACACACACACACACACACACACACACACACACACACACACACACACACACACACACACACACACACACACACACACACACACCCGCAGACACACAGTATATGTGTCCTGGTCTATTTTTAGATCAACTGCCTTGGACATTTGAATATTATATGTGTGAAAAATGTGAACTTGATCGGCCCAGTTATAGATGGTATGATTGATTCTCTGTGGTCCTGTTCGCCTCAAAACCAGTCTGGTTTCTTATGAGCCGCGATCTTATCTTAGATTTGCACCTAATTTGTCTTGGTGAGACATTTTTTGGCAGCTCTTGCATGTTTTTGTGGTAACTTTTACATTCCTGACTAGTACAGAAGGGAATGATGTTATCCAACTAAAAGCCAATATTAAAGAAATAAATTGAACTTTTGAAAAATCTGGTGTTCCTTTAATGTGTCATGTTTTAAATAATTCAAACGTACCTCTGTTCTCTTTTTCTCCTCCCCTCTCCTTAACTGTAAGTAATCAGGACAAATTAGCGACGAAGAATATTGTGCAGAAGAAACAAAATGAAACTGTGAGATGACAAAATGTTGGTAACGTCTTTGCATCCATATGTGCGTTAATGATGCAACTTCAATAAGATCAAACTTACATTTTCTTTCCCAAGGAACATGATTCACAGAGGGGGAGACACTTAGTCTCTCTCTGTGTAAATCAGAGACTTTAGCAGCTTGGTAATTTATGTACGGACACAACTGTGCCTCAGGACCATTAGCTTGAAATATGGCTTTAACATTG